CCCCCCCATCAACCCTCAGAATGTTCTCAGTTTTTAAGAGTCTCTTATGGTTTGCCTCCCTCCCTCTCTAACTTTTTTTCCCCCTTCCCCTCCCCCATGGTCTTCCGTTAAGTTTCTCAGGATCTACATAAGAGTGAAAACATATGGTATCTTTCTCTGTATGACTTATTTCACTTAGCATAACACTCTCTAGTTCCATCCACGTTGCTACAAAAGGCCAGATTTCATTCCTTCTCGTTGCCAAGTAGTATTCCATTGTATATATAAACCACAACTTCTTTATCCATCCATCAGTTGATGGACATTTAGGCTCTTTCCATAATTTGGCTATTGTTGAAAGTGCTGCAAAAACATGGGGGTACAAGTGCCCCTATGCATCAGCACTCCTGTATCCCTTGGGTAAATTCCTAGCCAACTGCATCCGTTTTGTACGTGAGGACATACGGAGACCCAGAGCACGCGGTGAACCCTAGTGTGTTGATGTTTGCTCATTTGTCAGTAGTAGGACCCGGGAAAGAGGATCTGAGAACATTTACTAAGCATCTTTGTACTTTTCATATGTTATTTTATATCTTTTTTTTTTATCTTTAACCCTGTGAAGTAGGTAGTAGTATCCCATTCCACAGATGAAAAACTTAAGGTCCCAAAAGACCAAGACTTTTTTCCAAGATGATGGACGGGATTGGAGTCAGTATCTGAATGCAGATCATGCTGACTTAAAACCCCATGCTTTAGAACAAGATCATTTAGAAAATTTTTTTAATGTTTTTATTTATTTTTGAGACAGAGAAAGACAGAGGATGAGCAGGGGAGGGGCAGAGAGAGAAGGAGACACAGAATCCAAAGCAGGCTCCAGGCTCTGAGCTGTTAGCACAGAACCTGACGCAGGGCTTGAACTCACAGAGTGTGAGATCATGACCTGAGCTCAAGTTGGACGCTTAACCGACTGAGCCACCCAGGCACCCCTAAAGCCCAAGATCATTTTAAAAATCACTTATCCTGATTTCAGTAATTTTCCTTGCCTTTATCAGAACTGCTAACTTGTAGCAAGTGAATAATAATACCTTCTTTCTCTAGCTGAATACATATGGTTCATTCACTTCCTGAATACTTGTTCAGGACCTGCTGTATAGCAGACACTAGAGGAGAACAAGTAAATGATGGCAAAACACTGTCAAACTGTGATTAAAGAAAGGCCAAGAATAAAAGCTAAGAATCGGGTTCTACCCCTTCCCTATAAATAAATTAAAAATTAGGAGTGAGGCTAACTTATCTCTATCTTTAGAACATCCATTTTCAATTTAAACATAGAACTTAGGGAGCAGTAGCCAACTCTTAAAAATTTTTTGTTTCTTTATTTCTGAGAAAGAAAGAGAGAGAGAGAGAGAGAGAGAGAGAATCCAAAGCAGGCTCCAGGCTCTGACCTGTCAGTACAGAGCCCGATACGGGGCTCAAACTCACAAACTGTGAGATCATGACCTGAGTCGAAATCAGGCACTTAACCGACTAAGCCACCCAGGTGCCCCGAGCAGTAGCCAACTCTTAAATTACTACAGATAAAATCTAAAGAAATCATTGAATGCTCTGTTAGTCTGGTCCTTACAGAAGCATTCACCAAGATGAAATTAAGTATGCAAATATTTTATTAGAGGAAATGCTTATACGTAAAAGAAAACATAAACGGAGTCATAGAAGGTAGGGAGAACCATGAAGCTGTGATGCAGGTCTGAGCCCCCGTGAAGAAAAGAGGGAGAGAAGGTTGAAGGAAGTGTCCTAGAACTGCCTTGCAATCTAAGAAAGGCTCAGCAAAGCCCTTTGTTTGGGAGAAGTCCTTGATCCAAAGTCCACTGACAAAGAGTCCCTTTTACCCTAGAAAGGGTCTACCTTAGCATGTCTCCCATCCCAGTAATCAGCCCTTGGGAGACATGACCTGGGCCTGGGTGCAGATTCAGTGATGAAATCCAAAGCAGCAGCGGGGCCCTGCTTTGATTACATTCAGTGAGTAATTTAAGAGGTACGTTTTCTTGTCTGCCATGCTCTAGTGGGGCAAAAATGCAATGTATTCTGCCTAGCTGGTTTTAGCGATTCACCCTATACTCTGTGTGCTTGATCTAGAGTTACAAGGTCAATTCCTTGTTTTCAGTTACTGAAACCCTTTAATATAAATATCAAAACCATAAACGCAGGATGATGTATGAAAACAGACTGACTTAACTTACCCAGCCCCTGCCTTCCAGAATGGGCCTAAAAAAAGTCAGAATAGGGGCGCCTGGGTGGCTCAGTCGGTTAAGCGTCCGACTTCAGCTCAGGTCACGATCTCGCGGCCCGTCAGTTCGAGCCCTGCATCGGGCTCTGGGCTGATGGCTCAGAGCCTGGAGCCTGCTTCCGATTCTGTGTCTCCCTCTCTCTCTGCCCCTCCCCTGTTCATGCTCTGTCTCTCTCTGTCTCTCTCTGTCTCAAAAATAAATTTAAAAAAAAACCTTAAAAAAAAAATCAGAATAAGTTTGGGCTGTAGGATATTGGGTCAGATATCCAAATGACTGGAAATATACTGTGTAGGAAGGAGAGTATCCCCATGACTTAAAGACCTAAAACTCTCACATTATGAAAAAACTCAGTTTAGCAGAGAGGAATTAGGCAATATCATTAAAGTGCCATTTTGTATCCAGAAGACATGGGATTATTTTTACTTTTTTTTTTAAGATTTTATTTTTAAGTAGTCTCTACACCCAATGTGGGACTCAAACTCAACAACCCCAAGATCAAGAGTTTCACACTCCGCCGACTGGGCCAGTCAGGCACCCCTATTTTTACTTTTTATTTAAATTGTACATATTTTGGGGGCGCCTGGGTGGCTCAGTTGGTTAAGCGTCCGACTTCAGCTCAGGTCATGATCTCACAGTTGGTGAGTTCAAGCCCCGCGTCGGGCTCTGTGCTGACAGCTCAGAGCCTGGAGCCTGTTTCAGATTCTGTGTCTCCCATTCATGCTCTGTCTCTGACCCTCCCCCATTCATGCTCTGTCTCTCTCTGTCTCAAAAATAAATAAATGTGAAAAAAAAATTTTTAAATAAATAAATTGTACATATTCTTTTAACTTTATTATTTTTAATTTTTAAAAACAAGTTTATTTAATTTTGAGAGAGAGAGACAGAGAGTGGGGGAGGTGCAGAGAGAGAGGGAGATACAGAATCAGAAGCAGGCTCCAGGCTCTGAGGTCAGTACAGAGCCCGATGCAGGGCTCGCTCGAATCCATGGGCTGTGAGATCATGACCTGAGCCAAATCGGATGCCCAACCAAGTGAGCCACCCAGGCACCCCAAGCTTATTTATTTATTTTGAGACAGAGACAGAGACAGAGAATCCCGGGCAGGCTCCGCACGGTCAGCGCATAGCCTGATGCGGGGCTTGAACCCACGAACCCTGAGATCATGACCTGAGCCAAAGTCAGACGCTCAACTGACTGAGCCCACAAGTGCTCCAAATTGTACAAATTTTTAATCCCCCATGATGAAAAGTTCAAAAGGCACAAAAAGATATAGAGGGGAAATCTCTTTCCCACGCTGTCTCACAACCAATCAGCTCGTCTCTCCAAAGAAACCAACATTTTGTATCTTCCCAGATGTGTTTTATACATATACAGGCAAATGTGAATATTAAAATTTCCCCAAACTTTTACACAATATCAACCTATACACACTGTTCACGGCTTCTTGGTATTGGATTGTATGGATAGACCACACTTTATTGAGCCACTTCCCTACTGATGGATATTAAGTTTGTTTTCGATCTAATTTACAAACAACCTGGCACACATATCACTTTACATGTGCATGAGTACATCGGAAGGATAAATTTATGAAAATCCCTTAGTTAAAGTTATCTTCATTCATCATTGTGGTGCACTTTTCCCAAATGCCCCCAACAGAACTTGTACCAATCCTCTATCTAAAGTATACTTCTAGGTCAAAGAGATATAATACGAAAGATGGAAATACTATGTAAAATCAGATCGCTGCTCTCTAGGCTATCGTTTTATCTGTAAAGAATCAAAGGCACCACGGAGGAAAATAGTACAGTAGGTTTCCCTTCTCCACAATTTCAGTTACCAGTTGTCACCATTATCCGAAAGCAGATGATCGGGTGCACATATTGCCAGCTTGGTGGCAGCCTAACGTTATGTCGCAGTGTCTATGTCATTCACTTCACGTCATCCCATCACGTAGAAATTTTATCTTCACACGTCATCACAAGAAGGGTGGGTACCGTACAATATTTCTGGAGACTACACTCACACAACTTTCATTGTAATATATTGTTATAGACTGTTTCATTATTAGTTATTGTTGTTATTCTCTTACCACGCTTAATTTAGCAATTAAACTTCATACCTACTATAGGAAAAAACACAGTATATATATAGTGTTCAGTATTATCCATGGTTTCAGGCATCCACCAGGGGCCTTGGAACATATTCCCCAAGGATAAGAGGGAACTACTGTATAATGAAACATAATTACTTTGGACATTCACAGAAGTTGAATTAAGGGACCTCACTGCCCTCTGAACCACTAAGGTAAGTGTGCCAAAATCAGCTAGAAGCAAAATTCCTAAACTGAACACTCAGCACCCAGGAGCTGGTGAAAAGTCAGCAAAACAGCAACAGGGGAGATGATGACTCCTGGGACTTCTAATACGACCCTTTGCAATTTCCCTCACAACGTCCAGCGTCCAGGGACAAGTTCCTTCCACTTGATTGTCCTGAAGTGCACGAAGCGGAGGAGAACCGCCTCGAGGGTGATGATAGGCCCCATTATGATGCAGAGAATGTTGAGGTGTGTGGAGCCCAGGGCTCAGAGGATTCTCCCCACAGCGATGGTCCGCTGGAAAAGGCCATTGTGGGCAATAGACGTGAAGAAATGTGAAGCCCCCGCGGGTTTTCTCGAAGTGAGAGGGTTCCTGAATACCTGGCAGGTAAAACATACAGCCAGCTCCTCGGTTTAGAAACGTGGAATCCTGGGGGCGCCTGGGTGGCTCAGTCTGTTGAACGACCGGCTTCGGCTCAGGTCACGATCTTGCGGTACGTGGGTTCGAGCCCGAGTCAGGCTCTGTGCTGACAGCTCAGAGCCTGGAGCCTGCTTCCATTCTCTGTCTCCTCTCTCTGCCCCTACCCCACTCATGCCTCATGCTCTGTCTCTCAAAGATAAGTAAAAACATTTTTAAAAATTAAGAAAAAAAAAGAAATGTGGAATCCTGTCAATATGCCCTTTCTGGGGAGACTCAGGGAGAATCTGGCCTCAGCCAATCACGGGGCAAGAGGGCTATACACCCCGCCCCTCGCTGCCCGACCCCACCCTGCCCCACCCTTTCTTTCCGCCTTCCTCTAAGCGGGCCGAAAACCCCACCCAGCGTACCTGTGGGTCACGTGACACCGCCGCCTCACGTGACGCAGACCCAGGGCAGGGAGGGGGCGGGCCTCGAGCTGCATTACGTCATCACGTCGCGCGGCCGCGGAGACTAGAGCCGGGACTACCACCTTGACGGCTCCAGAGCCTCCGGGTCGGGGCGGCGGCGGCGGCGCTTGGGCTCCTCCTGAGCCGCCTGCTGGCCCCGCGCCCCACCCGATCCCCTCGAGCTGGGAACGGACCCGGCGCCGCTGGGTGGGCCCGCGAGCGGAGGTGAGTTGCATGGTGGTGGTGGCAGGCAGCCCTTCCTTTCCTAGCCCCCGATTCCAGCTTACGGCCCTGCCCCCAACCATCGTCTCCCTCCGGGTTGCAACGGAGAGACGAAGGGAGCGAAGGGAGGTCTGCGGGGCTGGGGCGCACTCCTCGCAACTTCGCCCTGACCGCGCCCTTCCAGTACCTCCCCCTGGAGCTGCCGGCACTGTTCCCGTGTTGTCAGCGGGGAGGGGCGGGGGGGACTGCCCTTCCTTCTCTTCTCCTACCTGAAATTTACCCTTTCCAAAATTTGACACCTTTTCGCTCTCACCCCCTCCCCGAGTCTTCCAGGGTGCAGCTCCTCTATTCAGATGTTAACGGAAGTTCCCGAATAGGTAACCTCAAAAAGATGAGAGTGATGTGGCTGAGGTTTTGCCTGATGAGGCAGGAATCCCCAAGGAGGAAGAGTACAGTGCATTAGGGTTACTGTCAGTTTTGACACTGACACCGTAAAGCCCAGTCCTAGGCTGAGCCCTGTGGTTAACAGTAAGTGGGTATCTGTTCAGACTTTTCTTACATCTCCAGAGTTGGAAGTAAGTTGACTTAAGGAAACTCTTTTTGAAAAACTTTGTATGCTTTGATGAATCACCTCCTTTTCTGTAAAATGGATCTTGCAGGGTTTTTGGAGGGATTTTCTAGAGTACTTATAAAATAATATGCTAACTGTACATAGGAGCAGATGAGAATTTAGGATCTTGTTTGTGCCAGCCAAAAATTATGGTCGTGAGTTGTGGACTCTTGAAGATTGTAGTTTGATTTTTTTTCTTGGATCATTTCAGAAAGTTATAGATTCCAGTAAGACTGTCTTAATAACCCTGCCATTTCATTCCCCAGAAATTTTCCTTGAAGCAAAAAGAGTGTCACTAAAGCTTGTCAACAATCAAAAAAGTAAAAAGTACATTTTTAAATGTACTTAGTTTATTTGATGCATACAAGTGAACTTTGCCAAGTGACTGCTTGTGGCAGTAAAATTAGAGGAGTTTTAATAGGTTTCTATCCTAATAATTAGGCTCTTGGTTTTAGTATAGAAGAATTACTACTGGACGGTTGCTAATAATGTAGAGTAGGAAGACCCTTCAATAGAAGAGATTCAATAACTTAATCACATGAGAGGCACTTGGGTGGCTCAGTTGGTTAAGCTTCCAACTCCTGATTTGGGCTTAGGTCAGGATCTCAATGTTCCTGAGTTGGAGTCCTGCCCCGGCATTGGGCTCTGCTCTGACAACATGGAGCCTGCTTGGGATTCTCTCTCTTCCTCTCTCACTGTCCCTTCCCCGCTGGCATGCTACACATTTTAAAATAAAAAATTTAATCACATGAAAATCCGTAGATAAGCTTGCAGTGTTTCCATTATTCAGGGTAGGTATTGGTCCTCATTTGAAATGTCATTTTAAGGGGCGCCTGGGTGGCGCAGTCGGTTAAGCGGCCGACTTCAGCCAGGTCACGATCTCGCGGTCCGTGAGTTCGAGCCCCGCGTCGGGCTCTGGGCTGATGGCTCAGAGCCTGGAGCCTGTTTCTGATTCTGTGTCTCCCTCTCTCTCTGACCCTCCCCCGTTCATGCTCTGTCTCTCTCTGTCCCAAAAAAATAAATAAACGTTAAAAAAAATTTTTTTAAAAAGAAATGTCATTTTAAGAAGAAATCCAGATATATTTGGAAGTCACAAATAATTCTTTGCGTACTTCTTTAGAAAAAGTTCGTTTTCACTGACTGGCCTTTATTGCTGTAAGGTGAATACACAATTTTTCTTTTCTTGCTTTTAACTTCTAAACATTCTGTACACCTGCCAGAATAGGAAAACTATATAAACAGGAAAAAATATATAAATATATGAAAAATATATAAAACAAGATCCTACCTTCTAAGTACTTATTTCCTTATTCTTTAAATGATATCGCACCTTTAAGAGATTTTATCTTCTCATTTTATCATGTGAGATAACAGCACTGTGAAGACATATGATATATGTGTGGTTTCTTTATATTTCGAGTACAGTTGAGTATTGATTATAGTGTTGAGTGGTAGGGGCTCTCGATACTGGAATTCAGAGGAAGAATCGTTGTTATTTGGGATTATTAGTGGCTAGATTGTGGTGGTAAGAGCAGTAATAGGAATGTTCTCTACTTAATATCTGAGGAAGCCTCCTTAATTTGTATTGATAATTGAACATTTTTAGTTGTCCTAGTCCTTCAAGTATGTTCTGGGTTTATTTTCTTTTTCTGTTGTTGCAGAATCCAAGGACCCCTTTCGTTCTTTCTCCACATTGCTTGATGGGAGGCATTATGGCCCCCAAAGACATAATGACAAATACTCATGCTAAATCCATCCTCAATTCAATGAACTCCCTCCGGAAGAGCAATACCCTCTGCGATGTGACACTGAGAGTAGAGCAGAAAGACTTCCCTGCCCATCGGATTGTGTTGGCCGCCTGTAGCGATTACTTCTGTGCCATGTTCACTAGTGAGGTAAGTGGTAAGTTTTCACCTTACAAATGAAAGTCACACATGTAACCTTTTAGTTGTCTCATTTCAGTGAATCAAATGATAGAAGTTTGATAGAATAGTGAATTTCTGTGGTGTGGTGGTTCAGTGCACAGACTCTGGTCAAGATCTGCCTTTTGACTGTGTCTTAGTTTCCCCATCTCCAAATTAGGAATCACAGCAATGTGCAATCACATATGGTTATTGTGACAGTTATTTGAGAAAATCACATATGAAGTGCTTACAACAGCATCTGGCACGTGGTAAAACACAAATGTCAGCTACTGGATTTTACTTATTGTTTATTTATTTATTTATTTTTAATGTTTGTTTTTGAGAGAGAGAGAGAGAGACAGAGCACGAGTGGGGGAGGGGTAGAGGGCAAGAGGGAGACACAGACCTGAAGTGCCAGGTTCTGCGGTTTTGAGCTGTCAGCATGAGACGCTGGGCTCAAGCCTGCTGGGCAGATCATGACCAGAAAGTTTCAGGTCGACGCTAACCGACTGAGCCACCCAGGCGCCCCAGATTTTACTTTTAAAATTTAATTTTAAAATTTACTTTTAAAATTTACTTTTAAAATTTAAAATTTGGTTTCCTATTTTTCTCCTTCCAAAGTCTAATATTTTATTTATTCTACTTATTTTTTAACGTTTATTTATTTATCTTGAGAGAGAGTGCATGCTTGCACGCGCATGGCGAGCAAGAGAAGGTCAGAGGGAGAAAGCAGGCTCTGTGCTGTCAGCATAGAGTTGGACGTGGGGCTTGATTTCATGAACTGCAAGATCATGACCTGAGCTGAAATCAAGAGTCAGGTGCTCAACGAACTGAGCCACCTAGGCGCCCCCAAAATCTAATATTTTAAAGTGAATACTAGGACGATAAGGGAGAGGGAAGGAAAGAGGAGTGTAGGATTCAGTCCTCATCCACCTAACAGCATATGAAGAAAATCAGTATTCATTCTACCAATGTAGAGTTTAGTGTAATTTCAAATGAGAGGAGGAGGACTTAACAAATAACTCAATGACTGCATGGGTATATGCAGTATAACTTGGGGAAAAATGCTGACTATGGAGTGTGAGCAGTAAAAGAGAAAAAGGAAAAGGTTGGCTTGACAAGAAAAAAGGTTGTGCTTACAGGTATTAAGAAAGACTGCTTGGGGCACTTGGGTGGCTCAGTTGGTTAAGCATCTGACTTTGGCTCAGGTCATGATCTCATGGCTCGTGAGTTCGAGCCCCACGTTGGGCTCTCTGCTGTCAGTGTGGAGTCCACTTCAGATCCTCTGTCCCCCAATCTCTCTGTCCCTCCCTGCTCATGCACGCTCTCTTCCCCTCTCTCTCAAAAATAAAAATAAAGAAAGACTGCTTTAGTAATTGACAGAACTTTTAAAACATAGAGTAAGGCTGTTGAATATATTGTGAATGACTCTTAGCTGAACAGCAGAAAGCACCGCAACTTTTTTTATTTTTCAAAATCTCAAGTCTGATTTTTAAATTTTAAATAAATTATCTTGAATTTTTTAACCTTGAGTGATGAGTACACCAATGTGTATTATATCACATACCTCTACTTAAATACGCCTGAAATATCTCATTGTATCAACACTTTTTTAAAAATCTTTTTAACCACCAGTATTTTTTTTTTAAGTTAATCTCATCATCTTAGTGAAGATGTTGCTGTTGGATCGGAATAAGAGAGGTGGTTACATAATAATAACTACCTTTTATGGGGCAGGTACTGTGTTGGGTGATTGTTGTATGTTATTCACCCTAGGGTTAGATGTTACCATCTCATTTTACAAATGAATAAACAAGGTCTTATATATTAAATGACTTGCCCAAGATCACATGGCTTATAAATGACAGAGATGGGGTTTAATCCTAAATTTTCTGACTCTAAACCCATACAATATATGCTGTATCCGAAAAGCTACAAACATGCTGTATTGCTCTACACAGATCTTACTTACTTGCTTTATACACATTTTAACTACTGTGCTTCCTTAGCCTCTGATATATGGGTTTTTATATTCTCCAATTTCAAAGCCAAAATAGTTTATGGTTCTCTGAGCCAGTGCTCGGTCACATGGCTGGTAGGAAAAACATGGAAACCTGACAGATCATTCCAGCTACTTCAGGCTAATTTTAAAATGCTCTTGTGTAATATAACATCACAGATCCCTATCCCATATTGTCCTCCAGAAAGAATATCTGCCCAAGAGCATCAGAAGCAGTTGGCATTTAACTGGGTAAGGACGGTTCTCTCAGCAGCTGCTGAGCATGAAGGTACTAATGGATCAGGACTGCTGACTGCTAATTATATAGCGTGCATCCTGTTCTCTGTGAGCTGGAGGAAAATAGTCTGTCTTTGCTCTCTCTGCACATTCAGAGTGGTAAGGAGTTCTCTGAAAGAATTCTCTCTTTTTTCTCACCAGGGACCATTTTATAGTTTTTCTTTAAAAACTGGTATTAGGCAAGAAAATGCCAGATGGTTTTGTCTTTATTTTTAAGAGTAATTGACATAAAGGAGAGGGTTCAGAGACCTGGATCCTAGGCTCAATTCTCTTAACAATGCTGTGTGAACTCTGGCAGCCATTTAACTTCACTGGGTTGATCTTTAAAATAAAGTAGTTGGGGGCGCCTGGGTGGCGCAGTCGGTTAAGCGTCCGACTTCAGCCAGGTCACGATCTCGCCGTCCGTGAGTTCGAGCCCCGCGTCAGGCTCTGGGCTGATGGCTCAGAGCCTGGAGCCTGTTTCCGATTCTGTGTCTCCCTCTCTCTCTGCCCCTCCCCCGTTCATGCTCTGTCTCTCTCTATCCGAAAAATAAATAAACGTTGAAAAAAAAAATTTAAAAAAAAAAATAAAATAAAATAAAATAAAGTAGTTGAACTAGATGATTTCATTTTTCTCTTCCCGCCCTAAAATGCTCTTCAAATGTGGTCCAATTAAAGTGTCATTTGAGTGAGGCAAGAGGACCTGAGTTTCATCTGTCTCTTGCTAGTTAAGAGACCTTGGTTAAGTCACATAACTTCTTTGAACCTTAGATCCTTTTTGTCATAAATGGCAATAATATCAGACCTCTAACTACTTTGCCAGGTTGCTGTGAGAATCAGGTGAAATAATAGTAAGTAAGAAGCACTCTGAAAAATTGTAAAGCAAATATTAGTGTGAAATGATACTATGAATTGCTCTGAGTTCATAGATAGTGAAATATTTTCATATTTAAGTTATTTGATGGGAAAATAGTTTATTGAATAAGAAGTTTTAGGAATAAATGTACTTATATATTTCTGCTGCTTGTATACATACTATGTGCAGAGTTAACAAATGTTTTTACAAAACAATGTTCTAGTGACGTTTTTTGTGTGTGTTTATCTTTGAGAGAGAGAGAGAAAGAGTGGGGGAGGGGCAGAGAGAGGGACGCAGAGGATCCAAAGTGGGTTCTGTGCTGACAGCAGAGAGCCTGATGCGGGGCTCAAACTCATGGACCGTGAGATCATGACCTGAGCCAAAGTTGGATGCTTAACTGACTGAGCCACCCAGGTGCCCTGCTTACGAGTGCTATTTTTAATGTTAGGGATTGATTTTGTTCTTGGCTTTGGTAGAGAATACTTTTTGATTATTATTCTTTTGGGCTGATGGCGGAATCAAAGATGATAAAGATGTGTAGTTCATAATGGAAACGCACTGGAATTTTGTGAGTAATTCGAATTTCCAACTAAGGTTAAGTTGTAGTAAGAGTTTCATAAGGTAATCGATTTTTAGATAGTTTACAGTCCTGTAAAATTAAAGATTTATACCCTTAGCCGAACAATTTTCTATGATTATCCAGGCGTCTTCAATACTCATAATTGCAATGATGCATTCTGGGACTAAATATTCCACTAAACAATTAGTGAAAATAGTCAAAATAGCCAATATAGCCAAAATAGTCAATCTGATATTTAGAAAAAGTACCAATTCAGTTATACCCAGTGTCACAGTAGAGTGCCCCTTAAGATGACCTGAATATTTGGTCATTACTAAATGTACTCGGGGGCGCCTGGGTGGCTTAGTCAGTTAAGCGTCTGTCTCACTTTGTTTCAGGTCATGGTCTCACGGTTCATGAGTTTGAGCCATGCGTCAGGCTCTGTGCTGACAACCTGCTTCAGATTCCGTAGCTCCCTCTCTCTCTGCCCCTCCCCCGATTGTGCTCTCTCTTTCTCTCTCTCATAAATAAACAGTGGAAGAAAAAAAAAGTACTCGAAGAACAAATAGAACAATAATGAGTAGTCATGAGTCTGGAGCTGTAAGCCACAGAGTCCTCTACAAGCGTGAAATCTCATTGAAATTTTGTGTTTTATCTTAAAAGCTCATGGACACTAGTACTATGTTCACAGAACTTTTGGATTCAGTCCTGTAATAGATCTATGTTTGTTTTATTACAAAAGCAGTGTTTTAAATTATTCACTGGTGAAATTAATACTCCAGGGTGTCACCTCCCGGTGTGCTCTTGAGTAGCATGCAGCTGCCCCAAGTTGGACAAGCTACAAATACATGCCATATTTGCTTCATACAAATCAAACAAATTAGACCATAATTTTTTATTTATTTATTTATTTTTTTTTTTTAACGTTTTATTTATTTTTGAGACAGGGAGAGACAGAGCATGAACGGGGGAGGGTCAGAGAGAGGGAGACACAGAATCTGAAACAGGCTCCAGGCTCTGAGCTGTCAGCACAGAGCCCGACGCGGGGCTCGAACTCACGGACCGTGAGATCATGACCTGAGCCGAAATCGGCCGCTTAACCAATGTCGGCCGCTTAACCGACTGAGCCACCCAGGCTCCCCGACCGTAATTTTTTAAAGATGGGCGTTAATATTAACATCCCTTCAAGCTCTCGGATATGAGATTCTGCCTTTATCTCGTGGAATCATAACCACTGTTATTTCATACCCTTTGAATTCTCAGCTTTCAGAGAAGGGGAAACCTTATGTTGATATTCAAGGCTTAACTGCTTCTACCATGGAGATTCTGTTGGACTTCGTGTACACTGAAACTGTACATGTGACGGTGGAGAATGTACAAGAACTGCTTCCTGCAGCCTGTCTGCTTCAGCTGAAAGGTACAGATGATAAAGTTGCTATTGCTCATGCCACGGTAGCCTTGGAAATACTTAGAATTAATCAGGTAAACTTAATCACAGAAATTATGGAGACAGACTGTGGACGCTCATGTTTACCGCCTGCGGCACAGAAGATCAGGTCTCAATCACAACGTCAAAGAACCTCTCCATATGTGGCCATTTGGCTCTTTAGAAGAGCATTTAGGCCTTTTCTGTTTTTAAAAAAATGAAAGAGGGGATAACACACATTTTCTTACATGTGTGTACATACTAGCTCTACAAGGACACACAAGAAACTGATACTGTTCATCACCTATATGGAAGGGAACTAGATGGCCAGGTGGAAAGGGAGGCTGGGGGGTTATTCATGGTAAACTCTTTTGTACTTTTAATTTTGAGCCACGTAAATTGTGTATTGAAAATTTAAATTGGCACACAAAAATGAAAGTATATAATGTTTTCACAGGATATGGGGTGGACCCCCTTCCTATTTCCAGACTGTCTTTCTTAACCTGCATTGATGTTTCTGTTATTTTTAGTATTTCGAAATGCCTGGTTGAAAGTGTTCTGTTTTTAATACATGATTGAAAAACAGTATTGAAGCTTTTGCATTAGTGCACAAATTAGGTTTATACTCTGAACTTTGCAATTAGAGAAATAAGGGGTTGTCGTTAGTAGCTCTTATTTTTCCTTGGCAGGAGTCTTTCAGTCAAGTTTTCATAGGGAGTAGAAATTAGGTACATTATGTTAAATTATGATTGGTTTTATAAAAGCTTGGTTCCCAGGACTATGTTTTGTTTAATTGTGCCAGTGTCCATAGAAGCAATTTGTCTTGCTATACTTATTTTTAAAGCTGAAACAGAGACACACAAGACCTTGCTTGAAGGTCGCACGACACATAAGACAGAAATTGGATTTGAATTCCTTAAGCATAAAATTTCTAATTTGATCCTTACCCGTGTTGAGCCAGGATTCCTCTGTTACCTTGTAGAGAAGATGTCTCCTTCCAAGAATGTAGACCAACCAGTTCACACCTGGTCAAGTACCCTGAAGTGTTCATTGTCTGTGTTTGTCCTAGGTGTGAAGCAAGCCTGCTGTGAGTTCTTAGAAAGTCAGTTGGACCCCTCTAATTGCCTGGGTATCAGGGATTTTGCTGAAACTCACAATTGTGTTGACCTGATGCAAGCAGCTGAGGTTTTTAGTCAGAAGCATTTTCCGGAAGTGGTACAGCATGAAGAATTCATTCTTCTAAGTCAAGGAGAAGTGGAAAAGCTAATCAAGTGCGATGAAATTCAGGTACAAATTTGGCTTGGTATTGGGGTTTCTTCAAGACTGGAACATTACAAAACTTGGGAAAGGGGGGGGCACTCGGGTGACTCAGTTGGTTGAACGTCTGACTCTTGATCTCAGCTCAGGTCTTGATCTCAAGTCGTGAGTTAAAGCCCCGTGTTGGGCTCTGGGTTGGGTGTGGAACCTACTAAAAGAAAACAAACACAAAACTAGGAAAAAGCAAGGTGGATTTACTGTGTTTCTGTAGCAGGGCATCTTAATCAAGTGTCAATATTGGCTCCAAAGGTTTCATTAAATACCCCTGAAATTTTATGCCAAATTTATGGGAGGGAGTTTTGGGAAGGAGTTAGCCACCTCCCTCAATATACAATCCCAATGGTTAAGAGTCACTATTGAAGAGACAGTGGTGTGGAATAAGCAGAAATTTGAAGTAAAGAGATTTCTATAGAGCACTTCTGTATTACTCACTCACTCATTTTACAAACATTTACAGAGAATATCTACTCTACAGCAGTAGATATTCTGAATAAACTATCTGTGCCAGGTGCTATGGCTCCAAGAGTAAGATACAGTCCTTGTTTTCAGTAATTCACAACATAGTGGTAGAGACAGAGAAAGACAAAACTTAATAGAATATAGTGAGAATAATGAGGTTATTCACTTTGGTGAAGAAATTAGAAGAAAGAAGAATAAACCTTTTACATTTAAATTAGACCAAAAAGGAAGTGGATCAAAAAGAAGTGAAAAAAAGGTTGGAGACCGTAAACAGGAGGCAGATCATAAGTGCCTAATGGGTGGGGGGGGGGGGGG